TACTACTACAACTACTACAATTACTACAATTACTACAATTACTACAATTACTACAATTACTACAATTACTACAACAACTACTACTACTACTACTACGACGACGACGACAACTACGACTACGACTACGACGACGACTACGACTATACCACTACCACTACCACTACCACTGCCACTGCCACTGCCACTGCCACTGCCACTGCCACTACCACTACCACTACCACCACCACTACCACCACCACCACCACCACCACACAGCTACAACTACAATTACAGCTACACTACATTGCACTACACTACACTACTTAAACTGCAGTACAGCTACAAATACAACTACAACTACACTACATGACACAACACTACACCACTAATTACACTACATTACATTCCAGTACAACTGCAACTACCACTACATGGCACTACACGACACTACATTACAATTACAACCAATTACAACAACAACACGACTTTACACTACAATACACTAGGCTACACTACACTATACCATTATTACCCCGTGTAGAACAGAGAAAGTGGATTTTAGCAAAAAAATAAAAAAACAAAAACAGAATCACCAAAAAAACAAATTGACAGGAAGAATCACCAGAAGAAACAAAAAAAAACAAGAAAAAAACAAAAAATAAATAAAAAAAACAAAACCTGCATTTTCCGCAGTTTTTGTTTTTTTGATTTTTTTTGTTTTTCCCCACCTGCCAGGTGAGGGTTGTTAGATTTTATGTCAGTTGCCTCCTCCTCCTCCTTCTCCTCCTTCTCCTCCTCCTTCTCCTCCTCCTCCGCCTCCTCCTGCCTCGTCCTCCTCTCCTCCTCCTCCCGTCCTCCTCGTCCTCCTCGTCGTCCTCGTCGTCCTCGTCGTCCTTGCTCAACTGCGACCCGCGATCCACAGTGTTCTCTGCCGGACCTCAACCACGACCATCCATAGCCCAGTGTTCCCTGCCGGACCTCAACCACGACCATCCACGCCCAATGTTCCCTGCCGGACCTCAACCACGACCATCCTCGCCCAGTGTTCCCTGCCGGACCTCAACCACGACCATCCACGCCCAGTGTTCCCTGCCGGACCTCAACCGCGAGTATCCACGCCAAGTGTTCCCTGCCGGACCTCATGTAGGAAGATATGGGACAAAGAATGTGCAGAAGAAAGTTAGAAAGAATGTCAGAAAGAATGTCAGAAAAGATGCCAGAAGATATGCCAGATAGAATGCCAAATAGAATGCCAGATAGAATGCCAGAAGATATGTCAGAATATATGCCAGAAGATATGCCAGATAGAATGCCAGATAATATGCCAGAAGATATGCCAGATAGATATGTCAGAAGATATGCCAGAAGATATGCCAGAAGATATGCCAGAAGATATGTCAGAATATATGCCAGAAGATAGGTCAGATAGAATGCCAGAAGATATGTCAGAATATATGCCAGAAGATATGCCAGATAGAATGCCAGAAGATATGTCAGATAGAGTGCCAGAAGATATGCCAGAAAGAATGCCAGAAGATTTGCCAGATAGAATGCCAGAAGATATGCCAGAAGATATGCCAGATCATATGCCAGAAGATATGCCAGATAGAATGTCAAATAGAATGTCAGAAGATATGTCAGATAGAATGCCAGAAGATTTGCCAGTAAGAAAATGTATAAATGTCATGGTGGGGATCACACGAAGTAAAGTAATTTTTGTTTTTGTTTTTTTCTTGTTTTTTCCTTGGTTTTGGTTTTCTAGTTTGTTTTTTTTTGTTTGCTCTGGTTTTGTTTTTTTTTGTTTTTTCCCCACCTGCCAGGTGAGGGTTGTTAGATTTTATGTCAGTTGCCTGCTCCTCCTCCTCCTCCTCTCGTCCTCTCCTCCTCTCCTCCTCTCCTCCTCCTCTCCTCCTCCTCTCCTCCTCCTCCTCCTCGTCGTCCTCCTCGTCCTCCTCGTCCTCCTCGTCCAACTGCGACCCGCGATCCACAGTGTTCTCTGCCGGACCTCAACCACGACCATCCACGACCATCCAGTGTTCCCTGCCGGACCTCAACCACGACCATCCACGCCCAGTGTCCCTGCCGGACCTCAACCACGACGCCCATCCACGCCCAGTGTTCCCTGCCGGACCTCAACCACGACCATCCACGCCCAGTGTTCCCTGCCGGACCTCAACCACGAGTATCCACGCCAAAAGATATGCCACATAGAGTGCCAGAAGATATGCCAGATAGAATGTTAGAAGATATGCCAGATAGAATGCCAGATGGAATGCCAGAAGATATGCCAGAACATATGCCAGAAGATATGCCAGAAGATATGCCAGAACATATGCCAGAAGATATGCCAGAAGATATGCCAGAACATCTGCCAGAAGATATGCCAGAACATCTGCCAGAAGATATGCCAGGTAGAATGCCAGAAGATATGCCAGATAGAATGCCAGATCGAATGCCAGAAAATATGCCAGATAGAATGCCAGAAGATTTGCCAGTAACAAAATGTATAAATGTCATGGTGGGGATCACACGAAGTAAAGTAATTTTTTTTGTCAAACCCTATATTCTCTGTGTTGTTGGACTCATAACTATACCACGCTACAGTACACAACACTACAGTACAGTACAGTACACTACACTACGCTAATTACACCACACCACAACTACAACTGCAACTGCAACTATACTACACTAATTAAACAACAGTACAAATACAACTTACAACTACAACTCCACTACACTACAACTACAACACCTACAACTAGAACTACAATTACAACTACAACTGCATTACACCGCACTGCATCCAGCAGTTGTGGTGAGATGACCACTGCAACCATTGCAACCACTCCAGAAAACACAACTCCAATCACCTTTCGGTCCATCAATGGATTCGCTCTGCCATCCGTGAGTCACAACAACCAACCCTTCCTATAGGTTTCCTATTTTTGAAACTTCCGCCACCGCGTTGTGCGGTACTATTGGTATACAAACATGGCAGTCCATTCACCTCGACATACGCTAGTTGGGCCTAACAGGTATGGCAGAAGCTACGGCAGTGGCTGTCAGGGCGGTGGTTCTTGATCACACAATAAGGAACAACCATGAACAACCGATCGTCACAACACCTGTTAGCACCGCACTGTGAGACTCATCTACATCCTGCCAAAAATTAAGCATGCATGGCATGCATGGTTCAAATTCCGAACAGGATGGTGATGGTTGGTGTCAATTGGAATGCCCATAAACGGCTTGGGCACCTGACAATGCTTGTCAACTTGGTCATAATGATTCAACTCTGAATCAATGTAGAGAATAAGCACTTGCCAGCTCCTGAGGTGTACCGCAGGCACCTATAGGACTCGACTCTTTCATGCATCGAAATCTTTATGAAATTCTTGGTTATTCTTTGTCGACAAATAGAAGGTCTAGTATGATCTAGTAGAGCACAGTAGAACATAGCACAGCGCAACAAGCACATGCGATTGCAGCCACGGCAGAGCAGCGGAGCAGCGCAGCATACTTTTATAAACGATTGGCTCGGAGCAGAGGGAAGAAGCTACTTCCGAGCTTGCATGTGTCGAGGTCTCCAAGTGATGTAAGCTAAAGCTGAAATTCAACAATCAGAGCTCTCCAGAAGTTTGTCACAATTCCTTCAGGGCTTGCCTGAACGCGATTTCAGAAACACAGCCACTACAACAGGAGAGCTGGCAACAAAAATGGAACTCAAGGCTACTGCATATGCGGACCATGGTGTCTGTTCCTGCGGGTTGTTCACTCCGATCACGTCAGCAGCGCGGGCACCAAAGACACTGTAGATCCAACGCCCAACCACAAAAATCGATTGGTAGGTCGCTGGCAAATACTTCGTCAGAGCCTCTGGCACAAAGTGATCCAGAACCCAGCTGCTGTGTGTGCTGGCTGCAACACCATTCACCACGATGTTTCCGGAGAGCGTGTATGGATTGAAGAGACCTTGTTTCGGCACCATGCGGTTCAAAAGCACTCGGCCGAGCTTCAGCTCGGTGGCGCCAGCACTCGCAGTCCAAACCTCGGCGACGGCTTCAGCCGGTGACCGGATGTGCTCGGGTGTCGGGCAAAACGGCATTGACATGGTGTAAGATCCGAGCAGGTCAGAAATCAAGAAGCGAAAAGGCAAAGTGTAAGACCCACGATGGAAACACGCACAAAACAAAACAAAACAGCCTAATGATATTTAATTTGAATATAAAATATCAAGAATATGTCTGCAACATCTATCTGTCACCATGTTCATGTTATGTCATGGTTATCATGCATAATTTCATTCCATTTCCATCCTCATTCCAAATGCTGGCGATGCCAGTGGGTGTGAAGGGGTGACAATTCGGGATCAATGTCACAATGTCTCATCCTATCTCCCATGGTGGTACATGTCTGTGCAAACCAGAAGCATAGGCTTCCTCGGGGACAGATGCTGCGTATGCCGCTTCCGCCTCTTTCCAAAGGCACGGCTGCAGCTTGGGACATTTGTGCAGAAAGTGATCTGGAGAAAGATTCAGCTCCAAGGAAGAATTTGAGCCCAACTCCTGAGGCGCGCAGGGATGGGAACACAGGAAACACGGGGCAATGCAAACATTTTGATAAAGTAGAATTTCATACAAATTGACACTTGTTCCCATTGGAGATGGATGAAGACTATCCAGGCGAACTTTTCTTAGACAATACTTGGTATTGACTTGATCCATGTTGAAAATGGTTTGGGGGTCCTACTTAGTTCATAATCAGTACATATTATATATATATATACATTATTTCATATATCAATATTACAGGCTATTGACTATTACCTGATATATTCCGTGTGTTTCATTGCAAAGGCTTCAGCAGCCACTCTCCCGTCTCCCACTTCCACATGGCACACCATGGCACACCATGGCACACCATGGCACACACCCCACCCATCCTGGATCTGCAGTTGCACCATAGGAGACCTGGCTTTGTAGTCTGCATGGCCAAAGAAGTAGATCTCGTCAAAGAAAGCCTCCCCAGCATCGTTGACTGCGAGGACCCGGTCGCCAACTTGCAGCTGGTGCATCTTCTTCTTGCCATCTGGCGTCTCAACCGTTGCATCTTCCGGGAAGCATCCAGATGGGCAGTGGTCCTGCAGATTGTGAAAGATCCGCTCATATGTGTTTCCCGTTGGCATGCATTTGCAAACGCCTCCTTCAAAATCAACACCTGGCAATCCAAAACCAAACTCCACGGTTTCACCAATGTATTGCCCTTGCAGGTTGGTAATGACGGAACCGCCCACGCAAAGGATGAAGCAAGCACTTCCTCCCACATAGGCAGAATCGCCCAGCATGTCATTGTAGCTCTTGAAAAAGCCACGGGCAACACTGGCCTCCACCTCCAAGGGACCGTCCATGTCAAAACCAAAATCCCAGTTGAGGCACACTTCTTTAACGTTGGCGGTCTTGAAGTAGCAGGTCTTGTCTTGCCAACCATTGAAACCACCAGCTGCGAGGCTGACAGACCCCGAGACAGTGATGGAAGCCCCAGCCGCAACACCCAACTCCCAGTTGTAGGCCTTTCCACTGCAACAACTTCTCTGGTTCTCATTGAGGCGCCGGCGGCGTGGGCTTTTGGCTGAAACGCTGGTCTCCAGATCGTCGAGTTCATGCACGAGTTGCAAGGCGCTGAAAGGCTTGCGCTTGCTGGCAAAGAGCTTTGCCGTTTCAGAGGTGTTCCCGTGCTTTGCAAGCACCACGTGCGATGCCCGGTGGAACATCTGCACTGCCATGGCGCGCTTCGTACCAGCCATTGGGTCAAAGGTCTTTCCGCTGGGGTCTGGAAGAGGCAGGCCCATCACAGGACAGGCAACGGCAAAGAAGCTGGAGAGGCGCTTGTAGTGACCCCACTTTGCAGCCATGATCCGCTCCAGGATCAAGCGACACTCCTCGGCACCAGCACCAAACATTGTCTCCCTTCCATCCTCTTCCTCGTCCAGCTTTTTATCCTCAAGAGCGCGCATGACAGCTCATGCTTAAACACACGCTCACTGCACTTTGGAGAGTTTCCTTTTTGGATTATACGTGACACATGATGATACCAGAAACAAAGGACCAGTAATGCAGCATCATCAAAATACAATTTTGAAACTGGGGTCCTCCAAACAAACTGTCATGAAGGCCTCATCGAAGTGCTTCTCATAGACAATCCTGGGCCAATGGTGCGGAACTCCTGCATACTTCAGGTGTTCATGACTCACATCCTCCACGAATCTCATGCACTCGGGTTCTTCATCAATTGGGAGAACCAGGTCAACGAAAACGGCGCAGAAGTCCTCATCGGTTTTGAAAGAATCTTCGCCCAAGATGTTCAGCTGGATGTCCATCTGGTGGACAGCCCGGTCACACTCAGCAGCCAGTTTGCTTGGGTCAACCTGCCATCATCTGCCATCACAAGATCTAGCAACTCCAAATGAGTGACCCTGGGACCCTCGGACCCTGGGGCCCTACCTACACTTACACATTGATATTTACTGATGTCCATCCACAAGAGTTAATAGTTAATAGGCAACTTCTCCTCGCCCAAGTTGGTTTTGATGGCGCATAACCAGATTGAACAATGTATGGGTACGACAATGTTTGGACGTGCTTGTGGTAGTTCCACCATGTTCTATCTCTCCAACCTCTTTATACCACAGGTTGTGATGACCCAGTGAATCTGGATTCATTGGCGGAACAAGAAGCCAAGCCTTTGTCAAGACAGAGTTCGTACCATCAAAGGTGCCCTTCTTGCAGGCAGCGCCAAGCTTTTCGGTCTGCTCTGCAGCCCCATGCTTGCCGTCACCATTGGCCTTCACAAACTTGAGGCAGCCACGGTAGAACATGGCATCAAAGCCATGCGATTGGTCCAGGTCGTCTTTCATACCATCAACTCTTTGCCGATTCATCTCCTGGCAAGTCATATTGTTTCGGCGAGCGATGAGCTTCGCTGCCGCATCCGACTGGTTTGTGAGGTCGTGTGTCTTCATGGCCGCAGCAGCCGCTGCCAACATCAAGAGTGCCACGGCCGCCATTTCGACTTGTTTCAATTGCTTCAATTGCTTCAATAAACGAACGGAAAGCCAAAGGGGGCTTGAGTGAGAAAGAGCTATGGCAGGTATATTCAAACCGTCCAACATGCGTTGAGCAGGACATGTGCACAAAGATTCGCTTTCACCTGGCACATCAAGTCAAAGCTTCGACATCACCCCTGCCTTGAGGAAAAACGCGGCAAACGTGCTGTTGCATAGCAATTGCACCGCCCGGATCTCTCGAATAACAAAGCATGTCAGACTGTCAGAACCAAAAAACAAAGAATGTCAGATACGAACAAATTGAGTTTTGACTTTGCAAGTTAACGTGTACAGGACTGTACGATAGTTTGGTGTGCAATAAATTGAAAATTATGGTCCGGGACATCATTCTTGAGTCATGGTGGTGCCTTTTGCTTTGCTTACACTCATGTGATGAATATTCGTAAATGATCACTGCATTACTAAATACTAAACTATCATGCATGTCCAAACTAGCATTTCTCTGCTCTTCATGCGCACTCTGAAACTATAAATTGTATCGTAGTGGCTGCATGAAGGTTGCGAATTGTGCTTTGGCAGCAGATTTTTACCATTTTGGCGCTGATGATTTTCCTTGTAAAATTCCTTTTAATTTTAAAAAGTGCTTCAAAATTGGCGTTTTACCACTTTGACGTCGAGATCCGGTCTTGGAGCTGCAATTTGTGTAGCCGTTGTCGTGCGTAATTCTATGTGTTTAGCAACTCAGCGTCTGCAAATCGCAGTGGAATGGCTGCGCCAAGGTTGCTTGGCGCCGCGGCTGCACGCGCAATATTCTTTAAGCTGGACATCATAAATCGTATTGGCGTGGCTGCATCAAGGTTGCGATAATGATTTGTCAGCAGATTTTCTCAATGTTGGCGCTGGTGATTTTCCTAAATTTCTTTTAAAAAGTGGCTCAAAAGCGCTTTGTTGCTTTGGCGCCAAGGTCCGGTTTTGAAGCTGCAATTTCTGTTGCCATTACATACAAGACAGCTTCTCTGTGTAAATAAAAAAGTCTCTGTGTAAAAGCTTCAACTGTGTAAAGGCTTTCTGTGTGTGAAAGCTTGCTGTGTGTAAAAACATATCTGTGTAAAGCTCGTCTGTGTAAAAGCTTGCTGTGTGTAAAAGCTTTTTGTGTGTAAAAGCTTATCTGTGTAAAAGCTTGCCGTGTGTAAAAGCTTTCTGTGTGTAAAAGCGTAATGCGTAGAGAATTCAATACAAAGTAGTACTGGGAAGGCCTTTCTGCGAGCTTTGTAGTGCACAGTAGTACTGGAAGGTCTTTTGAGGTTTGTAGTACAAAGTACTAAGAAGTACTTTGTGCAAGCTTTGTAGTACAAAGTAGTACTGGGAAATACTTTGTGCAAGCTTTGTAGTACATAGTACAAAGTAGTACTGGGAAATACTGGGAAATACTTTGTGCAAGCTTTGTATCGCGACTCAGTATTGGGGAGTACTTTGTGCCAGCTTTGTAGAACAAAGTAGTACTGGAAAGTGCATTGTGCTAGCTTTGTAGTACAAAGTAGTGTTGGGAAGTACTTTGTACAAGCTTTGTAGTGCAAAGTTGTACTTGAAAGTGCTTTGTGCGAGCTTTGTAGTACAAAGTAGTATTGGAAAGCCTGAACTGATGCACGAGTGAGCGCCCGAAGCGAGAGGCTTGCCCACCAGGGACAGACACACATGCAACTTGAACATGAACTTGTTCATCTTGCTTCGCCATCAGTCAGTTTTGCAGGTTGAAGCCAAATTCTTGTTCAAAGACATGCACAAGTTGAATTCCCCATCTTTGGCACAGTCCTTTTACTCGGAATGTCTCCAGTGCCAAAGCAATTCGCGGCTTCCGACCGTCCGCTACGGGAACGTCGGAGGCAAACGCGCGCCGAACGCGGCTCATGAACACGGCTGGACCTCCTGCAAGTTTCAGGATGACTATCGTGAACACGGCTGGACTTCCTTGCAAGTTTCACCAGGACTATCGGGGTTCGTTCCACATGACTCCATCCAAGAATGAGTGGCAGAACGGTTGGTGTCTGCGGCCACGCTCATGGTGCATGTCACGCACGAATTGCAATACTCCGTGCAGACCGTCGAGGAGCAAATAGCTGCGAGAGCTTCATCCACGGAGGTATAGACTTTGCCTTCGCCTTCGCCACACCCTTGCAAGTAGACGGAAGTTGCGAAAACGCCGAGCACGACCTACAACAGAACATGAGATCAAAATAGATCAGACTTCTGTGTCTAGAGATTCTGAGGATAAATGGCAATTGCATCACGTTTGGAAAGCGAGTTGTCCAGATTTCTGGTTTGCAGTAAGCAAAATCATCCATCAACCAAGTACGTAATTGCAATATCATTAATTAATATTAATTACACATAATATCAAATTAAAAAAATCCACATAATACCAGTAGTACCGCGCAAGGCGGTGGCGGAAGTTTTAAAAATAGGAAACCTATAGGAAGTGTTGGTTGTTGTGACCCACGGATGGCAGAGCAAATCCACTGATGGACCGAAAGGTGGTTGGAGCTGTGTCTTCTGGAGTGGTTGCAATGGTTGCAGCGGTCACCTCACCACAACTGCTGGATGTAGTGTGGTGTAGTGCAGTTGTAGTTGTAGGTGTAGCTGTAGTTGTAGTGTAGTGGAGTTGTAGTTGCAAGTTGTAGTTGTAATCTGGTGTAGTTAGTGTAGTGTAGTTGCAGTTGCAGTTGCAGTTGTGGTGTGGTGTAATTAATGTAGCGTATTGTAGTGTACTGTAGTGTTGTGTCTGTAGCGTGGTATAGTGTAGTGTAGTCTAGTGTATTGCAGTGCAAAGTAGTTGTAGTTGTAGTTGTAGTGTAGTGTCGTGTAGTGCAATGTAGTGGTAGTTGCAGTTGTAGTGTAATGATGTAATGATGTAATGTGATGTGATGTAATGTAATGTACTGTAAATGTAATGTAAATGTAACGTGATGTGATGTAATGTAATGTAAGGTAATGCAATGTAATGTTATGCAATGCAATTAGTGTATATAGTGTAGTGTTGTGTAATGTAGTGTAGTTGTAGTTGTAGTTGCATTGTATTTGTAGGTGTAACGTGGTGCAGTTTAATTGGTGTATTGCAGTGTAGTGTAGCTGTAATTGTAGTTGTAGCTGCGGTGGTGGTGGTGGTGGTGGTGGTCGTCGTAGTAGTAGTAGTTGTTGTTGTAGTAGTAGCAGTAGTAGTAGTTGCTGTTGCACCAGTTGCTGTTGCACCAGTTGCTGTTGCACCAGTTGCTGTTGCACCAGTTGCTGTTGCACCAGTTGCTGTTGCACCAGTTGCTGTTGCACCAGTTGCTGTTGCACCAGTTGCTGTTGCACCAGTTGCTGTTGCACCAGTTGCTGTCGCACCAGTTGCTGTTGCGCCAGTTGCTGTTGCACCAGTTGCTGTTGTTGTAGTAGTTGTAGTAGTTGTGGTAGTTGTAGTAGTTGTAGTAGTTGTAGTAGTTGTAGTAGTTGTAGTAGTTGTAGTAGTTGTAGTAGTTGCAGTAGTTGCAGTAGTAGTTCTAGTTCTGGTAGTTCTAGTAGTTCTAGTGTAATTAGTGTAATTAGTGTAGTGTGTTTAGTGTAGTGCGTTTAGTGTAGTGTGTTTAGTGTAGTGTAGTGTAATTAGATGTAATTAGATGTAATTAGATGTAATTAGATGTAATTAGATGTAATTAGGTGTAATTAGATGTAACTAGATGTAATTAGATGTAATTAGATGTAATTAGATGTAATTAGATGTAATTAGCGTAGTGTAGTGTAATTAGTGTTGCGTAATCTAGCGTAATATATTTGTACTTGTAGTTGTAGTAGTAGTAGTCGTAGTGTAGTGTAGTGGTACTTGTAATTGTAGTTGCAGTTGTAGCTGGCTATCTGTCTGTCTGTCTGTCTGTCCGTCTGTCTGTCTGTCTGTCTATCTGCAAGATTGAAAACGAAGCTATTCTGCGAGGCTTCCTCAGTTTTTGAACTTGACAACATCAAAAATGCAGCAATTTTGCGAGACTTCTTTAATTTTTGAACGTGACAACGTCAAAAACGAAACAATTCTGCGAGACTTCCTCATTTTTCGAAGTTGACAACATCAAAAACGAAGCAATTCTGCTGCCAGACTTCCTTCAAAAATGGAAAGTTGAGTGCAGAGCTGACGGCCTCGTACCAATTCGTTTTGCGATTTTTCCACTCCACCTGTCTAAAGTATTGCGCCTGCCACGAAAAAGTGAGGCCAGGTCATACGAAGTGCTGCACCTGTCACGGCATGTGACATGTGTCTTGTACTGCGCCTGCCACGGAAAAAAGCATCTTTGCAGATCCTCTTCAAATGTCCCACGCCTGCCATCGTTTTTGGAAATGCTACAAAACCCTCACGTTTTGCTCACTTTTGACAAGGTATGACAAGGTGCACAATCCCTTGCGCCTGCCACACGAAACGACATCTGAACGTCCAAAAGTGGTCCGAACATGTAGTGCTTTAACATGTTGACCTCGAAACGTGCGTCGCGCCACATCGGCGTGCACTTTTTCGACATCTCAACTTCCAAACGTGCTCCGACACTGAAGTGTTTATGGTGTTTTGTACATTTTGACTTCCAAACGCGCTTTGCGCCACAACTGCGTGCAACTGTTCATCTCTCATCTGACCGCCCGCCGCTTTAGCGAGCCTACTTTTCGACCCTCCGGAGCCACAAATCATCGAAAAAAAACACAGTGAATCGCGACTTTTCTACCTTTTCGCGCACCTGCAGCTTCTTTCTTGTTCGACTTTTTTTTTTTGATCTTCTTCTTCTTATCCGCTCTGACTCTTCCCATCTCCGCTTTTCCATCTGTCCATATTGTCGGAAGTTTGACTTCTAAACTTCCTTCGATCATATAAATAAGAATACATCCGACCTGAGCGAGCTTCATGATGGCTCCAAGCGTTGGAAAGTGTCGACAGTCGGTGCTTGGCACTTTCGCAGCACGTCACTTGCTTGGGAAAAAGCTAGCGGGCGGCAATGCGAATTCTGCAAACATGAATCTGCCTTCCAAATTGGTTGATGGCAACATCACTGCTTCTAGTTCTAAAATGTTCTAATTAAATATAAAGGAACCTGCCTTCCAATGCTTAAGATCTTGCGACATCCATTGAACAAGTTTGAATTAATATCAACATATTTATCAAAAATGATATGATATGACAATATCATGTGTATCACAGGTGTCACAGTCCGTCTGCACTCACAAACTTTTCTCATGGTCCTCCAAAATCTTTGGACTCTGTTCAATCGATTGACTTCTTTTGAATTTCTGAGCAATTCGTTGAGATTGAGGTTCCTCTATTCTACGTACTAGTTCTCCTGCAGAAAACCTCTCATGCACTCTGTCAGCCTGTCAGCTCATCAATCTTATTTCCAAACATTCTACCAACAATCGAACACATCTGTGAAATTCTGTTGGGTGAATCCAAGACTTCAAGCTTGATTCAGGAAGCGCTTTTCGAGCCATCAGTTGTCTGAGTTGGCACCCTGTCCTTTGCAGAGCCGAGCTGAAAAAGAACTCAACGCAACAGCTGTTAAGACCGCCAAATCTACCATGGCAACTGCAGCCAGTGCAGTCCAAAGCTTTCCATTGAAGCTCGCAACAATTGGACCGCTTAGGAGTGCTGTCGCCGCCTGGGATGTTGCTAAGGACGCATTGAAGATTCCCGTCAACAACCCACGAGCTTCCGCATCAAAGGACGGTTGCCTCTCCAACCACGCAAACGGCGCGTTGGCAAGGACTTGATAAGCGATTGGCATAGCGAAGACAACCCATGCAGCTGCCATCCATTCTAGCCAGGCAGCAGTTTTTGCCAGGCACATCACAAGCAGCGTTAGCATCATCATCCAGATTGCTACAAACATAGCAGTCCACTCACCTCGACATACACTGGTTGGGCCTGACAGGTATGGCAGAATTGTTCCAGAGACAAGGAAAACAATAGATCCGTACAACAACCACTGTGTAGCTTTATGGACAGCAGCATCAAACGCTGGTGTTCCAGGTGTTGTTCCCTCAATGTCTGCCCACACACTTGAGAAGTAAAAGCTCCAAGTGCAGACTGAGAGCCACCCTGCAAATTGCAAGAGCCACATTTCCCAGAAGCCTTCGTGTCGGTTCGTTTTTCTCCACATGTCCCTGAAGCCAGCGGGACAAATCCTTCCTTCAGCTTCTGGAACTGGCTCGGGCGAATCGCCCTGATGTCGGATTTCTCCGATTTCTCTGGTCTCTTTGCTGGGGCCCGCTGCGAGTTGAGTCAGGGTTGCCACAGCAGCGATTGCGGCCACAGTAAGAAAGGCTGCTGTTCGTGAGAGAAGAGTTGCGCAAAGAATCGCCACAATCTTTGCAATACCTGCCACCGTAGCACTGCGCGACTCAGCCAAGTCTGGCGGAAAGATGTCGTTCATTTGCGCCCGTGTGGGTGTGACCAGCATATCATGACCTTTGCACGACTGAGTTGACAGTTGTGACAGTTGACACACCAGCAAATTCCGGCTCAAGTCTTTGCCCCTGAGAAAGAGACTTACATCTGCCATGCCGAATGCGAGTATTGAGAGCGGTCTTGCAGCTGCCTCCAATAAATTCCAAACTCAATCTGGCAGAGTGTAGAATCATACAGATCATCATTTGCTGCACTGTATGTCATTTTGTTGTGCAGTTTTTTTTGGCGCCCTTTCCGGCCTTCAGAGACAACAATGCTATCAGAGGGGTGACCTCCGCAAGATAACGACTTCATCCTATACTGTATGGGTCAAAATTGAAGGCATCAGGGGCCGCAGATGTTGAGAAAGTTTATTGCAACAATTCCATTGTTTGGCATTCAAGTTTGACCCAAACCCAAATGCGCCCAAAGGCTTCGCAAAGATTCACAAAGACAAGCTTTGAGCCATGTTCAAACCTTGGGGCTTGACCACAAGGCCCAAGACAGCAATTGTACTGAAGACAACGATGAAGGGTCTCCTGCAGTTCGAAAATGCCTAAAACTTGTCATGAGCCAGAATTGGTTAAAGGATGTTAAAGGTAAAAAAAAATGAGGTTTTTGGTCCTCTAGATATTGCCAACAAACCAATCCATTGACATTGACGTCTAAGGAGAAATTCTTCACTGGCGAGAAGTGTCCTGCCATATTTGTCGCTCAAAGCTCCAACGAAAGGCTGAAGGAAAAAAACCCACTGATGGGCTGATCACCTCGACCAGGTCTCCAAAAATCAGAACAAGAACTCATCCACTGGCTAATCAACATTTTTTGCCATTAAAATTCATCACACTTGCCATGCATTGGGGCATAGAGTAGCCCATGTTCAAATTCTTTGGCCTTGCAGCAACTTGTGACCTTTACTCTGAGGGAGGAGCCCAGCAAATGGCGATCAAAGACTTGGGCACCTGAAACAGCTGCCCGAGAGCACACAATTTTAGCAAATATCAAAATAGCAGAAAATAGCGATTTATGAATGGCCACCCCCTTTAAGAAACGATATTTATGAGTATTGATCCATGGCCATATTCATTCTTTCTGCTTTCTGAGAGTTTCTGTCAACCAACCAGTGGTGGTTGATCATGGTTTTCCCTCTCAAAAATTGCCATTTTGGGGGTAGACTGATAGACTTCATTTTTCGACGCACCACATCGATATTTTCGCGTCCCCCAGCATCTTTCCAGCATCTCTCCAGCTTTACCTCCAGGTCCAAAAGCAAGGGCATGAACAGGGGCTCACAAACCTTGGGAGCTGGGAGCTAAGGACCATGGCGTGGAGAAACAGAAGTCATGCCTTCAGTTGGGATGATTATTCCCAGTATATGGAAAAAAATGTTCCAAACCACGAACCAGTTATGTAATATATTCAACAACTCCGCATATGGTCATGGACTCATGGACCTTCTGAGATAGCTACGCTCCAGCCGAGCTCGGGCATAGCCACTGCCAGCCTTAGCCAAAGTTCGCCCTCGGATCTTGCAGCAACAAAATGTCACTGCAAGGTACTCATAGTAATCCGCCGACCCCAGCCATCTGCAGGGGGAGCGCGCCCGAGGAAAAGTGGCGTTAAGCCCTGAGCATTAGGGACCTTTCTCGTGGCTTCAGAAAGCAACAGCCTTCCTTCAAATGGTTCCCGGCGCCGTTGCCGGAGGCTTTTGCACCATTCTGGGGCCTTTTGCACCGGTCTGGGCGCTTGACAAGAAGTTTTCTAGTGGGTTCAGAAAGCTTTGTTAGGCAGTAGGCTGCCCTTAAACCCCTCCCAGCCCCCTGGGCGTTCCTTAAACCCTGCCCTGCCCGGTGCCCTTGGCGGCCCAGCAGCATGTCCTTTGGCACCTGCCGGGCGCTTTCCTCGAGATTTTCTCTTCGTTTCAGAAAGCGACGTTAGGCAGTAGGCTGCCCTTAAATGCTTCCCGGCGCCCTGGGCTGCCTTTAAACCCTTCCCGGTGCCTTTGGCAGCACAGCAGCATGTCCTTTGGCCACCTGCCGGACGCTTTCCTGGAGATTTTCTCTTCGTTTCAGAAAGCGACGTTGGGCAGCAGGCTGCCCTTAAACGCTTCCCGGCGCCCTGGGCTGCCCTTTAACGTTTCCCGGCGCCCTTGGCGGCGCTTCCCGGCGCCCTGGGCTGCCTTTAAACCCTTCCCGGCGCCTTTGGCAGCCCAGCAGCATGTCCTTTGGCCACCTGCCGGACGCTTTCCTGAGATTTTTCTCTTCGTTTCAGACAGCGACGTTGCATGGGCAGCAGGCTGCCCTTAAACGCTTCCCGGCGCCCTTGGCGGCCCAGCAGCATGTCCTTTGGCCACCTGCCGGGCGCTTTCCTTGAGATTTTCTCTTCGTTTCAGAAAGCGACGTTAGGCAGTAGGCTGCCCTTAAATGCTTCCCGGCGCCCTAAGCTGCCCTTTAACCCTTCCCGGCGCCTTTGGCAGCCCAGCAGCATGTCCTTTGGCCACCTGCCGGGCGCTTTCCTTGAGATTTTCTCTTCGTTTCAGAAAGCGACGTTAGGCAGTAGGCTGCCTTTAAATGCTTCCCGGCGCCCTAGGCTGCCCTTAAACCCTTCGCGGCGCCCGTGGCGGCCCAGCAGCATGTCCTTTGGCCACCTGCCGGGCGCTTTCCTTGAGATTTTCTCTTCGTTTCAGAAAGCGACGTTAGGCAGTAGGCTGCCCTTAAATGCTTCCCGGCGCCCTAGGCTGCCCTTAAACCCTTCCCGGCGCCCTTGGCGGCCCAGCAGCATGTCCTTTGGCCACCTGCCGGGCGCTTTCCTTGAGATTTTCCCTTCGTTTCAGAAAGCGACGTTAGGCAGTAGGCTGCCCTTAAATGCTTCCCGGCGCCCTCTCCGGTAAACTAACCGTTTGCTATAAAAAATGACCATTGACATGTTTGCTTGAGCTAATAAAAATGGGTCTTTTCAATACTTCTGTTAGTTTACTAGAGGGTTTGTGGGACGATCATGAGATCATTGCAATATCCGCCGACCCCAGACGATGGCAGGGGGAGCCCGTCCGCGGAGCACCCCGCCGATGGCAGGGCACACTCTACACTTTGAACTCCACACTTTACACTCCGCACTTTACACTCCCCACTTAACACTCCACACTTTACACCGTACACTTTACAGTCCACACTTCACACTTTAGACTCAACACTTTACACTCCACACTTCACACTTTACACTCAACACTTTACACTCCACACTTTACACTCCACACTTTACACTCCACAATTTACACTCCGCACTTTACACTCCCCACTTAACACTCCACACTTTACACCGTACACTTTACACTCCACACTTCACACTTTACACTCAACACTTTACACTCCACACTTCACACTTTACACTCAACACTTTACACTCCACACTTTACACTCCACACTTTACACTCCACACTTTACACTCCGCACTTTACACTCCCCACTTAACACTCCACACTTTACACCGTACACTTTACAGTCCACACTTCACACTTTACACTCAACACTTTACACTCCACACTTCACACTTTACACTCAACACTTTACACTCCACACTTTACACTCCGCACTTTGCTCCACCCTCTACACTCCAACACTCCACAACACTTTACACTCCACACTTACACTCCACACTTTACACTCCACACGTCACACAGCGTTCCCTCACACTTTACCTCACACTCAACACTTTACACTCCACACTTTACACTCCACACTTTACACTCCACACTTTACACTCCGCACTTTACACTCCCCACTTAACACTCCACACTTTACACCGTACACTTTACACTCCACACTTCACACTTTACACTCAACACTTTACACTCCACACTTTACACTCCACACTTTACACTCCGCACTTTACACTCCCCACTTAACACTCCACACTTTACACCGTACACTTTACACTCCACACTTCACACTTTACACTCAACACTTTACACTCCACACTTCACACTTTACACTCAACACTTTACACTCCACACTCTACACTCCACACTTTACACTCCACACTCTACGCTCCACACTTTACACTCCTCACTTTGTACTCTACACTTTACACTCCACACTTTACACTCCACAGTTCAATGTCCATTCTTTACACTCCTCACATTGTACTCTACACTTTACACTCCGCACTTTACACTCCACAGTTTCATGTCCATTCTTTACACTCCACGCTTTGTACTCCACACTCCACACTTTAGACTCCACACTTTACACTCCACGCTTTACGCTCCAAAGTTTGCACTCCACGCTTTACACTCCCCACTTAACACTCCACACTTTACACCGTACACTTACAGTCCACACTTCACACTTTACACTCAACACTTTACACTCCACACTTCACACTTTACACTCAACACTCCACACTCTACACTTTACACTCCACACTTTACACTCCACACTTTACACTCCGCACTTTACACTCCCCACTTAACACTCCACACTTTACACCGTACACTTTACAGTCCACACTTCACACTTTACACTCAACACTTTACACTCCACACTTCACACTTTACACTCAACACTTTACACTCCACACTCTACACTCCACACTTTACACTCCACACTCTACGCTCCACACTTTACACTCCTCACTTTGTACTCTACACTTTACACTCCACACTTTACACTCCACAGTTCAATGTCCATTCTTTACACTCCTCACATTGTACTCTACACTTTACACTCCGCACTTTACACTCCACAGTTTCATGTCCATTCTTTACACTCCACGCTTTGTACTCCACACTCCACACTTTAGACTCCACACTTTACACTCCACGCTTTACGCTCCAAAGTTTGCACTCCACGCTTTACACTCCCCACTTAACACTCCACACTCTACACTCCACACTTTACACTCTACACTTTCGACTCCACACTCTACACTTTGCACTCCACACTTGACACTGTACACTCCACACTCCACACTCCGGACTCTGCACTCCACCTTTTACGCTCCACACTTTACACTCCGAACTTTACACTCCACACTTTACACTCCGCACTTTGCTCCACCCTCTACACTCCAACACACCACAACACTTTGCACTCCACACTTTGCACTCCACACTCTACACTCCACACTCCGCACTTTAGACTCCACACTCTACACTTTACACTCCACACTTTACACTCCACACTTCACACTCTACACTTTAGACTCCACACTCTACACTTTGCACTCCACACTTGACACTGTACACTCCACACTCCACACTCCGGACTCTGCACTCTACCCTTTACGCTCCACACTTTACATTCCACCCTCCACACTCCAACACTCCACAACACATTACACTCCACACTTTACACTTCCCCCTTTTACACTCCACATTTTCCGCTCTACACTTTACACTCCACACTTTACACTCCACACTTTCCACTCCACACTTTCCACTCTACACTTGGTACTTGTACTCCACACTCCACACTCTACACTCCACACTCCACACTTTAGTCTCCACACGCTACACTTTACACTCCACACTCCGCCCTTTACACAGTACACTCCACACTTCTGCCTCCACACTCTACACTTTACACTCCACACTATACACTCTGCCCTTTACACTCCCACTTTACACTCTACAGTCTACAGTCTACACTTGACACTCTCCACACTCACACTCTACACTCCACACTTTATACTCCACATTTTACACTCCACACTCTACACATGGATCGAAAAAACTAACCCCTGTTCGGGGTTCTCCTTGTTCAGGAGACTACGTACTGTTTGCTGAGTGCCCGACCGGCCCTTGTTCAGGGCTCTCCTTGTTCAGGAGATGCCAGGGGTCGGCGGCAGCGGGCGGCAGCCCTTAAATTCGGCTCCGCCGGCTCCCCACGAGTGGCTTGCCCCACGAGCGTCCCAGAGCGACTAGAGCTCTAAGGTAAGGCCGCCCCAAGCCGCCGACCCTCCGACGCCGGGCCCCGAAAAACACCAAAAATCCTTCAGGAGGGTGAGGGAGAGCTTTTTGGCCGGAATCCGGGTCGCTCATAAGCGTCTCCAAGAGCAAAAGGCCCCCCCCCCCGTTTTGAGGGTACCTAAAATCGGAAAAAAGCACCGTTTTGACGCCTTTTTCGGACGATTTTTCGCTTTTCGAAAGGCACAAAATGCTGTAAATTACAGCATTTTTGCGTTTTAACGTCTTTTGCGGGAGCCATGCAGAAACGCAGAAAATGCTGTAAATACCAATACTTTTGGACCCGAGATGCACAAAACACTGCAAATACCAGTGTTTTTGAAAGCGCAACAAAAAAAATTGTAAATTACAGCATTTTTGGCGAGTTGATCGCAAAAAATGCTGGTATTTACAGTGCTTTTGCAATTTCAAGAAAACGTGGAAGGCACGAAACACTGTAAATAGCGGTGTTTTGGCCACTTTTGGACGCCGAAACGCTGGTATTTACGCAGTTTTTTGCCCGTGGCGGCGCCAAACCCCTGTAAATTACAGCATTTTCT